GTTTAGGGATTTAGGGGCTTAATAATTAGAATAGGGTTTTGGGGTAGATTCTACTGTAATTATCATAAGGAACCCCCACAATAGTATAGGTAATCTTTTAGGCCCCCAACATTAAACCCTGAAGCCTGAAGCCCAACTCCTAACTTAAACCCCTGTAATCTCTGATTATTAATCCTAAACCCTGAACCCCAAACCCTTTAAACCCCTAATTATCCTAGGTAGTATTAAGGAGACCTAAAGGGGACCCTTCTTAACCCTATTTGTGGCTCGCTCTTTTATAAAGGGACCTTATTGAGAGTGTCTATATACCCAACATTCCCCATAATCCTAACTCCCGAACCCCTGAACCCTAAACCCAACATGGGTTGGAGACGCTTCATACAGGCGGACACCAAAAGGCCCTTCAAAAAAGACCTCAACCCTAAACCCTACCTCCGAGCCCTGATTGAACACTGAAACTGGCCAGGCATGTTTTCCTCCGTAAAGTGAGCCACCTGATGCGCCTGGCACCCAGTCCTGCGCGTGCTGTTCAGACCGACAGCCTTAGGTAACGAGATTCACGGGGTGGCACCGACATTCCTGCACTACCATGAAAGAGCTTGCGGGGTGAAGAGGGACCTTAGGTAAAGGCAATTGTGATCGCTGTTGACAGTGAGACATGCATGAGCCGCCTGACCAAGGCACTTGCACACTCGTCGACCGCCGTGGCGAAAGCTCGCAAAGGTAGTTTTCCGATTGTGCCAAGCCGCTCCAGGTTTTGAAGGCCTAGGTCGCCTAGGCCAAGGCACCGATATGTGTTTCGGAATCGATGAGATCTTGTACAATCCCTTCTCAGGCTACTGGTATCGTGCGAGGTTGGGTTTGTGGCGATCACGCCGCGCAGAATTTCTCGTCTGCAAAGCGGCGTATATGGAGCGACATTTGAGATTTCGCAGCGAGTCGAATAGTGTCATAGAGAGGCAGCGCAAGGCAGCGTAGAGCAGATGCGTATCTGATTTGCGTGTAAACAGCCCAGAGAACCCATTACCCCTTAACTAGGGAATATGCCTTAAATCATAACAATAAGGCCCTTATAATTTACGGTATATTCCTTAATTAAGGTGTATTGGGTTCTCTGGGAGAATGAGTCCTTGCGACTGCCTCTCCATGACGAGCCATGTGGTCGCTGGGCTTGTAAAGCAGCGACCGGCTGCCCACGGCAAGATGCCAGGGCTTCCTGGGACAGTTTTTTCTCCATTCAACTTGCCAATTCCCGAGAAATGTCAAGCTTCAACATCTGACTATGTGCGTATGTATAACATTATATATATATATATTTACGTTCGCTACTATATATATATATATGCACATGTATATAGGTAATATTCCCACTTTCAGGATGAGTCCATTGGTTGTGGTGCAGTGTGCCGCGAAAAGCTTCGGAGGTGTCATCGCCACTTGGAGGATCATGAGACTTAGTAAGGTTATAACTACCTTAATTGGGGTTATAATTACTTATAAGTACAGTTCCCTTACTTATAACCCTAGTTACTAAGTCCCACGATCCTCCAAGCATCTGCTGGCCAGTGAATCCTGCTGGCGCGCGGAAGGCGCTCTAAGGGCCTCAGGCAGTCATCCCAATGAGATTTGGGGTTTGGGTCTTTCTTCGGTTTTAGGGACTAGGGTTTTGGTTGAAGCCCTAAACCCTAAAGCTTCAACCCTAAACTCCAAAGGTAGAAAGGAGATCCAAACGCTCTTTCAGTCAAAACCAGCCGGCTTAGGATTCAGGGTTTAGGGTTTAGGGTTTAGGGTTCAGGTTTCAGGGTTTGGGGTTTAGGGTTCAGGGTTCAGGGTTTAGGGTTTAGGGTTCAGGGTTTAGGGTTTTAGGGTTTTAGGGTTCAGGCTTGCAGGGTTTGGGGTCTAAGGTTTAGGGTTTAGGGTTTTAGGGTTCAGGCTTGCAGGGTTTGGGGTTTAGACCTCTACGGTTTACGGTTTAGGGTTTAGGCTTTTCCGGTTTAGAGTTTAGGCTTTTACGGTTTAGGGTTTAGGGTTTAGGCTTTTACGGTT